AACAATATTGTAAATAAATAAAAACAATTTATACATTTTATGAAAAAATGTTCATCAGCCTGCTGTACAAAAAGCCAGATACATCAATACGAGGGGTAACAAACCCCTACACAATTATCAAGTATTATTGATTAAACTATTATTATCCCATTCCACATTTAGCCCAAATGGAATAAAAGATTTCAGGTCATAAATCCATCTGGTTTCTAAATGTGAGACACCCCTAACTACATGGCTCCCCTACCAGTGTGGTACAAACTTGTCAATCAATGTTTAATCAGGGAGCAGTAGCATACTGTTGTGTCATCCTTCCCCTACTCTGCGTTCTTCTTGTGTGAGCAAGCTCCCTATGTTACAAAGCATTTGTGCAGAGTGACTAGTAACTTGTGCTGGCCCCCTCAGGGAAAGGTTACATGACCTAAGAAACAGAGGCTCAGACACTTACTGCATACTAGGTGTAGTAAAACTCAATTAAAGAGACAATGTCACAGGAAAAAGGAGAACCAGTTTGCGTGTACCTGCTACAACCCCCCCCCCCCCCCAAAAAAAAATGAAAAAATCCTGTAAAGGCCATATGCTGGACTGTTCTGACACAATTGCACGCAGTCCCTACAATTGCAGGTTGCTCAAACCCCATACATTCCTATTGGTCCATCACTTTTAAGGACATTCTACCAAGTTATAGGAATACAGGACGCTATATGTGTGTCAAAGCTTTCTGAGTCAGAACAGCCTGAGCCTGCCAGCTGTGACAGGGAGGTCTGAGAGGCTCTGCAATTCATATATGCAACAGTTTTTATATAGAAACCCCACTCCTACCAGCAACAATGTTTCTTTAATGACTTTGCCTAATGGGTATGTAACTGCATTAATTATTTTTTGTACATCTGCCTGGAGTTTATTTTTATTAGTTTATATTTTTGGTACCCAATGACATACACAAAGCTAATATTTCCCATAGAAACCAGCCTGCAAACATCATTTCACTGTAACAGAAAGTAGTCATTTAAATGTCTGAAAGCAAAATGGGCATGTAAAATAGGAGCATTTTCATTACAATGAAGAGAAATGTGTTGATCACATAAAATAGGTCTAACAAGTACACTAGCTTATGCATTACGCATTTTGAAATGTTTCTGAATTTGTATGTGTTCATGACAGTTTTTTTTTTATGTCAAACAGATACTGCTATTTTAGACATGTCACTCTTAGTACAATGACAGATGTATGTGAAAGCAACATAATTACTTAATTGTCATCCATATTTTTCAGAAACAGTCATTTAGTATTCTATCAGAGCATTTTTGTCATTTGAGTGGTTTGCATTGCCCTACGAATCTTTAAAATACACTAGTCCTTTTTACTCTGTCAAGTCCCACTCATGCAAAGTAATGTCTAAATGTACTGTCTTTTGTGAATTCAAATAAAAACGCTGCAGTTTGATTTTGCTGTCATTAGATGCAAAAAAATGTGTTAACAAAGGTAATGTTTTAAAAAGGACTAATTTGTTACAATCCCCAGTGGTTGATTAAACATATTCAGCCTGATTACCTCTGTCAAGCATTTAAATTTATCTGCCCCCCTCCCAAGATTAATTGGCATAAAATGCATTAAAACAGAAGGGGTATTGAGGATCTTGCAAAAATATCTGAAATGCTGTTACATCTAAATTGATATTATTTAAAGTACTGTTCTGATTTCTATATAAAAGTTGCAAATGTTATTTCTCATAAATACACAGACATGGTTTAATAATAGTGTGTAAATTCCAGTCTAAAGAGATGTAACTTCAGAAAGCATTTGCACAGTATTTGACATATTTCTAGCAGTTTTTTTTTTTCAAAGCTGTCAAAAGACAATTTAGCTGTACTCCAGGAATGTTTAGTTTAGAATATAGAATACATTTTGCAAAAAGTTTGCTTAAAGCTGCAGAAAGCCCTCACATTACTTTCTACTGTATATGCAACACACCTAGATGAGAAAACATGGATGTTTTAAGAACTTTAAGAAAGCTTTTTGAAGTTTGCCAAATGTGTTCTTAAATGTTTAAAAGGTAGAGGAATTGTTCAAATATTCAAACTGATTATAGCTTTTACATGAACTTTACTAAACAGATTAGGATTAACAACACAAACAGGAGTGTTCATACAGTGCAGAACAATGTTAAAACAAAAATGAAGCAAATAAATAAATAAATTGTAAAAACAGTAGAGCATATTAAATCAACAAAAAACACAAAATTTATTTTAATTAGCAAAAATAAAATGCCACCAGCACCAATATTAACCACTTGCGCTCCTGAGGATTTACTCCCCTTCCTGACCAAGCCATGCCTTTGCTAAAAAAAATCCCAATATGTGTAAATTAATTGGTTGCATGAAAGTTATAGCATATATATACTGGGATTTTTTAAAATTTTCACTAGTAATGGCGGTGATCAGCGATTTATAGCGGGACTACGTGACTGGGGAAAACTGACTGTACAGTGATCAGTGCTCGAAAAAAAAAAAAAAAAAGCACTGACACTGTACTAATGGCACTGGGCAGGAAGGGGTTAACATGAGGGACGATCAAAGGGTTAACTGTATGCAGGGAGTGTTTTACTAGGGGGCTGTGTCAGTGTGCGTCACTGTAATCACACTGCTCTGGATGGCTGTGCTGTGCCCGAGCTGACAGGGAGGAGAACTGTTAGTAAACAAAACAGTCCTTCTCCCAGTCGGGGATCTTCGGAAATCACTGGGTGCCGGTGAGTAATTACCGTCCGGGACCCTGTGATTGACAGCCTCGGCCGCGAATGCCCCACTCACACCCCGGAAAAGCAAAATCATGTATATATACCTGATTTTGTGCACCCATGCCGCCCTGTAGCAGTATTTCTGCTATAAGGTGGACGGGAAGCAGAAATGACAAAATATATATTCACCAAATATAAATTAACTATATTAACCAATCAGACAGAGAAAAAAAAAAAGAGAGTTACAAAACTCCAGAGTAATCAGCAGCCACCAGCCAGCTTGCAGTAAGGGACTGAGTCTGGGAGGAATACTGGAAGAAGCATCAGCTCAGCTGCTACACTGGCCCCAGGCACCCGGCACCTTCCTCTGTCCTTTCTTCCTCCCCCTCTGCTGTCCTTCCCCTCAGCTGAAGGATCATTCATGATGTGGCGGCGTCCCACACGGTCAATCAGCATCTGCTCCCCTTACCTTGAACATTGTCCGCCCCCCTCCTCCTCCTGTCACCTCCATGACCTCCTCCTGCCGGGGTGCGGAGTCTGGGCTGTGGCTCTCAGTGAGGATAGGCGGCCTCCCAGCACTACACTGCTTTCCTCTCATACACATCAGGCCCCGATCATCCTACTCACATAGAGTTAACCCTGCAACCAAAGCACACCCCCACCTATTGATTAGCTCCAGCTGTGTAGAAGAAGGCAGAGCCAGCTCTGGACACTCCCCATTCGGTCACTAGTCGGCTCCCTGTTACAGCTGGAGGATCATGTGTGCACTGGAGTGTGTACCAGTGTGTGTATTGGAGATGTACGAACTGATCCTCCGATCAGAGACTGCTGACTGCCCGGGGTAATGCCATCACTTCCCGTCCTACCCTTCCTAGGGGGAGGTGACACTTCACTGCTACATGGAATACTGTCGTGTGTGTATGTACTAAATGGCCATGTGTGTGGACAGGCTGTGACACAATTGTGCAGTGTAAAGATACCATCATTCCCTTTGTATGAGGAGAGAAGTGAAGCATTCATACAACTGGTCCATAGGCCACAGAGAGAGAGTGCCGGCCTGTGCTGTGCTCAGGCATCCCTAGGTGACAGTGCACCCTAGGCGCCTGCCTAGTTTGCCTAGTGGAAGCACCGAACATGTGTATGAACAGGATTTCATAAGAGCAATGCTCCTGTGACTCAATAGAGAGACAAGGTGGAAGTACAGTACAGTCTCTATGAGGCTCTACAGCCACAGATACTACAAAATGAGCACTGCCAACACAAACTGAAATACAAATCCTTATAACATAAAAAAAAAGAACAATTGCAGCACCAACAAAGAAAGTTGTTAAACAAAATGTGCATGAAAAACACTAATTACTCCAGCAAAGGGAAGTCAGCAAAGTTTGGGACTTGCAGTTTTTGCACAATGATCACATCTTGGATATTGATAAGAAGGAAACTGAGGTCAATGTCCTGAGCCCCTGAGTACATCCTATTGTGACAAAATGTGTAAGGCGGAGTTTCCAGATGCTGATGCTGACATTATCATGCATGCTGCCATTCACTCAGGTGGCAGCCTTTTTAAAAATTTTCAAATGGATGTGTTTTTAAAGTCATTTTAATAAAAAATTAGCCTTGGGTTCCCCACTGACAGCTGAATGTAAAAGAAAGAATTGTTGGCAATTAAAAAAATAATTAAAAAATGGCATGGGGTCCCCCCTCTCCATCCATACCAAGCCCTTCTGGTCTGCTATGGATTTTGAAGGGAACCCCCACACCAAAACATTTTTAAAAATGGAGTGGGGTAGCCCCAAAATCCATACCAGACCCTTATCCAAGCATGCAGCCCGGCAGGTCAGGAAAGGGGGGGCAAGCGAGCCCCACCCTTCCTGATCCATACCAGGATTGACAATTATAAAATATTTCCAGGTTTGAACTAACATGCAGTATAAGAATATATCTTTTTTAAAGGGATTGGCCATAATTAAATAGTTTAAAATAAATATTGTGAAATATAAAAGCATTGAAAGCTAATCTGTAAGTACAGAGCATTTTTTTAAATTTTCCTTGCATGTGATTGGGTATTCTTTGTAGATTGAATTTTACCACATTTACTAAGATAAATAATAATTCCCTTGCAAACTGAAAATTCACATTGCAAAGTGAACATCCTCAGCTCCTTCAGTAAATTAAAGTCAATTAATTACACTTTTTAAAATAATTTTAATAACAGAGTTTCAGTTTTAGATAACAAGTACTAGGACCAGGGGCGGACTGACAACTCATGGGGCCCCTGGGCAATAGGGATCATGGGGCCCCTGTGTCCTTGCCCAAACTCAAAAAAGCCAATGAAAAAGGTACCAGGGGTATCTTATGGGGCCCCCTACTGACCCCGGGCCCTCAGGCAGTGCCCGAGTTTCCAAATGGTCAGTCCGCCCCTGACTGGGAATTGGGATGCATATTGATCATATACCAGCATTTAGAAACATAAACCAGCAACCAAATTCTAGTGAAAGATAAAGGTTTTGAAATAAAGAATTATTCAGTTCCATAACACATACTGTACATACCCAGTGAGAGTGAGTACAATACCATGTGAGATTGTGACCCCTATTTGCTTTTAGTCCCCTAGGTCTAGTTGAGAACAAATGTCATTATTCCATTTCAATATATAAATTGGGATTACATAAGTGGTTCCCAATGTTTTCAAAGAATGTCAAATCTTTAGAAATGGTGTCCTTAACATCAAATAGACTAAAAATGTAAGATGTTATAATATCTCTAAACAGGGACATGAATATTCACTTGCAATGTTGGAAAAGATTTGACCCCCTTTAAGGTAATTTTAAATTCAAGAGACTCTTTTTCGACCTTTATGAGAATTTGCTGGGGCAGTTCAGACCTGGAGGGAGTTGTGGATAAAATATTTGAGTACACAATTCCCATTTGAATGGAAAAATAAGGGACTAAAATATTTAGAGATGATACTATCACCCTCTTATAGGGATCTTTATCAAAATAAATTATATCCTTCTCCATTATTGAGTCAAACAGGATTTGAATAATCTTCCAATTTATACTTTGACTTGGTTGGTTAAAGTAAACACAATAGAGATGGTGACACTCATGAAGGTTTTTATATGTTTCAAACACCTCACCACAAATATTTCAGCAGCAATTTTTAAGACACTTTGGTGTTGAGGTTTACATGGAAACATCAGGAGCCTCACATCTCCCTTCAGCGTTGATTAAATCAAAGCAAGAAGGAGGAGTAGCACTACCAGATTTTAATTGTATAATATGGCAGAAGTCCAAAGTGACGAAACGCTTTAGGTAGGGACGTCAAGGCGCACGTACGTAGACCGGAAGTGTCGCCATGGCCATTTTGTTGGTTTGAAACACATGATGTTTGGTTGGAAAAGTTTCTAACCATGTCTGGAGCTGATATTTCTAATTTTACATGTAAGTGTTGAATAAAAAGTGATTTATATACTTGAAACACTAGCCCTGAGACCCTGTTTATCTCTCTGAGGACCTTGGAAAGAAAATAATTAACTTGGAAGATGAGGTGGAAGAATATTATTCCATAATAGTGTCTGAGCATTTTCAATACTCATAAGAGGGTAATAGTACTTAGTAGTACTGTGTGCTGGTTGATGGTAGACACTGATTTGCAGTGACCACAGAGTGTTCACAGTTTGATGTGTGTGATTATATGCACTATAAGGAATTAATTTAATATATATATATTTTTTTTTTTCTCTCACTATAAGTTTTTGAAGTGTACTTTGGTTGCACGGGGTGATTATTGTTATTTTTATTATTATTGAGGTAATGCACTAGATATTTTTATATCTTATTTCGAGGTGCGTTTTTGGATGAAATAGCAGCCAATCCTTTCAGTGGAGGAAAAGAGTGAATACATTTGGGATATTTGTGGACACTATTTTGGACTTCTTTTTGGACATTTGTTGGATCTGTGGGATTTTGTTGCACATTATATGTTTGTAATTTGAAAATTAATTTTTATTTTATTTTATTTTATTAATTTATTTTTATTATTTACAAAAAGGCTGTATATATATTATTGCACTTTCTAGGGAGAAAGTATTGACTGTTTGAGGACTTAAGTCAAACCACTTAAATACACATGTGTAACACACTAAAGTGAAGATAAAAAGTACAATCGTGAATAACACGTTACACATGTGTATTTAAGTGGTTTGACACAGAGCACTTAACACCTATTTTATATGTTTCCCAGGATCTGGGATATAGTTGTGGTTATTCACTATATATATAAATTGTTTTTATCTATCACTGTATGATTGACCTGCTGTGATTTGGTCCTGATTATATTGTTTGTCCACGGAATATAAATAAGGGAAAGATTCTGCAAAGCGCTACACCACTCATTTTTATTTTTACCTTTTAACATAATAAAGATACAATTGTTAGTACATACTGCATCATTGGAGTGTCCTTTTGTCTCCTCCATTAAGGGTGATTATCTCAGACCTTCAAACCCCCCCCCCCCCCTTTAAAGGGACCGGATCCCATATCTGGCTTGATGTTGTTTTAAAAGTTAAAAGATGCTGTATCACTTCTAAATGGTTAATGATTGGGACAGTGAAGGAATCCTTACTGATCTGGCATTACAAAGTGCAATTTGATAGCTGGTTTAGTTGTGGGAACACAATTTAATGCTAGCAGCAGCTTCTCCATTTCACTATTAGTCACATATTTATTTATTCACTAGGTGGAGCAGGAGTTTCATTTAGTTTTGTTAGGTTGATTGGGTTGATTTACTAAAGGCAAACAGGTTGTGCGCTGCAAGTGCAGTTGCGCTAGATCTGAGGGGAACATGCAAGGAAAATAAAAAAAAAACAGCATTTTTGCTTGCACATGATTGGATGAAAGAATTCAGCAGAGAATCGCCTCATTTCAGAGCTTCCCCTCAGATCTAAAGCAACTGCACTTTCAGTGAACATCCTATTTGCCTTTAGTATATTAACACCAATGTCTTTTTTTTATAAAACTCGGAAAGACTTGATTGTCTGTTTTAGGACTTCTTTTTTGGGTTTTTTTTTTGTGCTTCAACAACAACTTATGTTGCTGTGCTGCATCTGTTCCCCCCTTTTATGTATTTTTGGGGTTTTTTTTGTCTTTAATCATATTTAGCATTTTTCTTTATTTAGAAAGGAGGGTTTATATTGTTGGGGTCTATTTATTGTTTATGAAATCAGCAGCAGCAACAGCATGACGTTTCTGGCAACACCACAAGAGCTGCTCTTTGCTTATACATACAGTACAGCTCCTGTAATAGGAAAAGAAGGGCATACGCTTCACATTAAAAACTTTATGTCTGTGAGGCCCAAAGGAAAAGTCAGAAATAGTTCCAATGCAGCTGTCAGGGGGTGAGCATTGTCTTTATCCATAGGCCAAAGCAATGGTTGGGTGCAGCATTTAGAGGCAGAGCATGCATGCCTTTTTTATGGCAGTAGGTGTGCTATACGCCCAGGACTGGTGCTAGACTATTTTGCACCCTATGCAAGACCAGCTACTTGCCCCACCCAAAAAAAATTATATATTTTTTTAAAACAGAAGAAAATATTAAATCAACAAAACATGAAGTTGCTAAATTTCTTTTAATTTGCAAAAGTAAGTGCCATAAGATGCCACCAGCACCAATATTAAAAACAAAATCAGTGTCACAGATGCACTGTATCTGTGGCTGACAGTGGCATGGTGACAGTTGCAGTGAATGGAGAATGATGGATACCAGGCAATGGGGGGAAATAAAATGCTGTGACAGCATGCAGCTGAACTGAGTGGTCCCACACAGTGAGAAATCCGACACAACACACCACCACGAACACTGACACAGATCAGCAGGCCCAGCAGGCACTAGAAAAGTAGGCTGTGGGATCGTGATGATGTCATCACTCACTGACACATTGCACATGTGATGGATGTCCGGCCGGTTGGGTCACACTCACACATACTCGAGACATTGGATATGGGACAGAAAGAGTCAGGCCCAAAGTAGCACGGGTGGCCTGTAGGAGTGCTTGTCAGAGGTATATCCAGGAGAACAGCTGATGCAGTGGAATGGTCTTCAAGGTAGCAGAGGACCACAGAGTAGTCAGTTCAAAGCCAAGGTCAGATGCCGGAAGGATATTGGAAAAGATGTAGTCAATAGGATAGCCAGGGTCATACACAGGAGAGCAAGTGAGAATATCTATTAGCCAAGCCGGGTCAGATCAAGAGAGCAGGTGAGAATATCCATTAGCCAAGCCAGGGTCAGATCAGGAGTCAGGCAGAGAAGATAGGTCCAGGAACAAGCCAAATTGGTAACAGCAGATCACAGTAGCAAGGGACAACACAGACAAAGGTACTGGGGAGCCAGAGATCAACCAGCAATTTGAGGGAGTGATGGGCTTCCTTATAAAGGAAGGTCACAGAGGAGTGAAGGGAGAAGCTTTATATTCCACCAGATAGCGGAGATCCATGGGTGTGGAGCACTGTCTGCTTCTCAGTGCTCAGCTCGGCGGGCCTTTTTCAACACATGTGCTTTAGACTGCATCATAGTAATTTGCAGTCACTGCCTAAATCATTACAGGCATGGCTGTATCATCTGCCGGTTGGGTACCACGTGTATGAAGAGCCACATGGCTTCTCAGCACACAATAACATGAATGTACCACACTAACCCATACTGGAATATTATACGGTATAAATGTATATAAAGTATAAATATTCACTAGTAAATACAACCAAATATGCCAAAAATGATTGTGAAATATAAACCACAAATTACACATACATACAGTTTTACCTAATTAGGTACATAGTAACTGTGATATAAATGAAAAAAATGGAGTGCCAGAAAGTCTGTGTAAATCACTTTGCTAAGTAAAATATGTGATAACACTATTAGGAATGCAACATGCAAGTGCAGGTGCAAGTTTTAATTTGGAGAAGCTTGCCAGTATACTCATGGACAACATGGCTTGGGCCCTGCTGTGGTCAAAAGGTGGAAAAGCAGTGAGGGGGGCATTAAAGTATATGTGAAGCCTTACCTTTTAAAACAATGCATTCAGTATAAAATAGATATGAAAGGCAAAACATATGTGTATATATACAGTATAAAAAAAAATACATTTGTGCTCAAAAGTTTGCATACCTTTGGAGAATTGGTAATATGGTAATAGTATGTACCATTTTTAAAGTAAACATGAGTGAGCAGAGTAAACAAATTAATTGACCCCTGTGTAAAATTCTGCATACCCTTAGTTTTTAATATGTACTGTGTACTGCCCCCTTTAGCATCAATGACAGTGTGCAGTGTTGTAATAGTTTTCTATGAGGCC